TTCACCCCACTTAAACTTTAGCACTTAACAGAGAACTGTAGTTTCATGCCTTTAAGTTATAGATTCCCATTACATACAGAAAAGGATAGGCTGCAGATAAAGGATGGCATAGAAGCTTGGTATGCTATACTCTCCAGTTTTGGATACAAAATGCCCTCTTTTTCACAGGCAGGTAATACTGACATAAATAAGCTCCAGCCTGATAAGTATTCAGCTTATCTGCAAGCAACTTGTTTCAGCACTGCAACATTACAATTTGATTCTGTAAACTGCACATTTGTCGCTCTATAAGAGCATTCTAACAACAACTGCACTTTTTGATAGTGCTGCTGCTTTTCTCCTGTCTCCCTTTCAAAAGCTAATGAGGATTTAGGACCTCATTTTCGGATTTCAGAGTTGTATATTCTAGGGAGGAAATCATAGTGGAAACAGTGGTTTCTTTAGCTTTTTGTGCACAAAACAAAAAGGCACCTAAAACCATACAAATCACACCTTTACCTTCTCCTGATTTAAGTTTTAAAGCAACTCGACACTCTTCAACACACTCTATCACTTTCGCTTCATCTTTCCAAAATTTGTGGGCCCACTCCTTCCCAGCCAGGGAAGGGGCACAGTCATATTTCTGCAGCAGTGTATCCATGGCAATCCTGTCCGTGACGCCAATTTACTGTTGCATGAAAGGGGTGGTAGGGCAACTTGGCAGGAAATAAACCACACTGCACCCCAACTCACTCTCAAATATCAGAGGAGCTGGGGGTGGCTGGGCTTAGATGCTGGGTGATGCCCAGTTGAGCACTACGAGTCCGACAACAGCAGATTCACTCAATAGTGTGCGCTGCTCTCCCGTACCCGCAATTTATGGACTCACATGGCTAAACCTGCAGAATTTAGCGGTGTCCTGTGGGGGGGTTGGTGTGGCTGGTTACAGACAGACACACTTCGATGTGGCACTACAAGTCCAGGTGCATTAATTCCAGATTCACTCGATGGTGCCCAGCACCTGCCATCCAGTCACCCTCTCTGGACTCTCACGGCCTGTCAGGTGGTGCCCAGTGAGAAATTGTGCAGCAAGTCAATAACTGAATAAGGCATTTTAATAAAGCAACAGGAACAATACAGGTTCGTGTGGATTGTTGGTGATAATCTGCTGTCTGCAGAAGTTTAGACAAGCAGTAAGGTTACAAATTGCTAAAAGTGTTAAGTTAGAAAGGAATTCTATAGAGATTTCTAAGTGTCGAGAAAGCTCTTGGGGCAGTGAGATCCTACCCAAAGGCGTCCCTATGGGGGGAAAAAGAGGCTCAGCCCGCTGACTGATCCCAGAGGTCAGGGGTCTGTGATGGTATCTTCCCTGACTAACATGCCCCTTTCTTTGGGCTACTTTTATATTATTTTTTTACCTTCAAGGTGGAGCTTGAGTGACTCTGGTCATACTTTCACCGTGATTGGTGAAACACTTCTGTTTCCCTTTTAAGGCAGAAGTTACCAAAACTTAGAGTGTATGCTCTGTAAGGGGGAAGAGGGGGGGTGGTCAGTGAGCAGGAGGTATGTTATTGTGTAGCTACAATTCAAGTCCACACTAGGCGGGTATATTTGTCTAAGGGGTACCACCAGATGGCCAGTCCAGGGTCATAAACAGACAGTATATCAGCCCCTTGGCACCAGAGCTCTGTCTCAGTAAATACTGGGGTTAGTGAACGAGTTTCCACCCTTTTCCATCCCCTGTATTGATATGAAGACCAGGCTCTCCAGGAGACATTCTTCATTGGAGAGATTCTTCACATACCCATTGCATTTCTGCCCCTGGGATCTTCTTCGACATTACACCTTTCCCTAGTGTGTGAACAAAGCAGTTTTCTGATTTTTAAGTTATCTCCAGTAAGTATTCCACAATTACATGATAGCATATAAAAACCACACAAAACCATAATTCATATTTTTTTCAAATTGCATAAATCTGTATTGCATGTTACTTTTATTTAAAAACCATGTACCTTATCTAGATGAAGTTAAGTCTTAACTAGCCCAAGATTAGAAAATTTTAGTGTTTTTTCTATTAGCAGGGATAGTTATTGTGAAATTGTGATGTTTCTGCATATTTAACTTTTTTATTAAGACGGCAAAAAAATTTAGTTGAAGACTAATTCACTATAAACTTAGTTGTCTTATGAATGACAAAAGTTAAACATATACAGACACTTGTTATTTTCACACATTTTCCTAAAACAACTTTAGCTTATTGCTTGATTTCTTAGGGTTTTTTTGTGCATCATACCAGCATTTAATAATTTTCTTCTACCAAACATGCAACTACTAATGTTTCCTTTTCAGTATTCACATCCTTTTCTGCCTAAGTGACTTGAAAAAACATGATTACTGTTAGGTAAAACAATATGACTAATACAGCCCATTTTTAACAGATATAAAAAGAAATTTTACAAGAATGTAATAATTTTGGAAATATTTGCTCAATTTCTTAACATCGAGGAGATGAGGAACATTCAAGATGATGGACGCTCAAGGATGTACTTTCTTTTTTATAAAGCCTGCCTCACTCAGCCTTGCTTGCATTGTTGGCCACAGCTTGAAAATTTTAAGTGGTGAAATGACACGAAGAAGCAAACTGCTGGGTATCAGGAATAGTTTCTGTGGGCAGTCATAAGGGCTGTTTGGATGAACACAATGTCTCACAGCTTTGAAGTAGAAATTTTATAGTTTTCTTACAAAATACTGTTAAATTTTACCTTTATTTATCACGTTCTACTGATTTTAATCAGCTGTAATGCATGTTGGTTGATATGACACTGCTAAAACTAGGCACCCAAGGCCTAAGTACTTGAGAGCATAACTACTTGGCAGCAGCAGTAGTTGTGAGAGAAGTTGTAGGAACAGGAATTTTGAAAAAAATTAATTTGAAATTAGCCTGCCAAAGGCCTATTGTATTGGAAATTCAGAAAATTCACTACATGTTTATACAATTAAGTCATGTTTCCTCAGAGTATTTTTCATATCATTAATATAAAGATATGATAATACATTAAAATAATGATAAGGCTTATAAATTATCTAGAAATGCTTTAAATGTTTTCTATTACATTAATAGAGACCAGTGGGTTTCATATGAACAACAACAACAAAAAATCACCAAAAAAAGAAAGAATAAGTAAACCCCAATATAATACAAACTGAACATTTGCCTTAGTCTCAGTCTTGAATTTGAAATTTAAACATACAGTGTGGATACAGCCATCAGAAATAAGAACTATCGAATGATTACTTCTGATGCACCTACAGATGATCCTGCCAGGTCAATGACACCTGCAGGTTACTGTAGGGAGATGCTCAATTACTCTCTTCTGTAATTAGACGATTTTAATCTCTATGCACGGAACTTCACAAGCACAACAATCAATTCAGAGAATTAAATGCAAAAACTATTCTAGAAGGAAACTGTATCAGACAAACATGCAGTGCAATTCAGCACAGAAAGTAAAAAACTGAAGAACTTGTTTTATTTTTACATTTATTGAAGGTAATTGTTTAATACTTGAGATCTGTGCTCAGGAACAGAATTAGTAGTTTTCACTTAAGTTGAGGCTCAGTTAGACTCTGCTGTCAGTGAAATGGTTTTGGTTTGGTTCTAACAAGAAATGGCTTTGTAACTGGTCAGTGGAGACAAACTGGCTTAGAGCAATTCACAACATGGGGTCTGGTCTAGTGATCTAAGACAGGAATTTGGGGGAATAGCAAGGAAAAGACATGGAGGATAACAGTTTTGGAGGCGGAGTAAGAGGACTTCAGGAGGTTTTCTACTGAAATAATCGTATTAGAATGAGTGGTAATGCAATCTCAGACAGGATAATTTAGGGGAGCTACAGATTTCTTGAAAGGAATCTCCCTGTCTCCTCTCTTCACAGAGAACTGAAATGGTATTTTCAAAGAACTGTTGATAAAATGACTCTGATGAGCTTTCTGAACAGGTAACCGACTAGTTAGGTCCCATCACTTCAAGTATATAACTTGTGGGTTTTTTTTCCTTACATTCATAATTTTTGATTCATTAATGTATTTTCTCTGCAAATCCTTGCCAAATTATTCAGTAGCTCTGGGAGATCATTTAACAGCTGCTCATGGTTAGCTTTTGGTTTTATATCTTCAGGATTCTGCAGCTTCAGCAAACTTTCCATATTACTGTTCACCCTTTTTCAGATCATTTGTGTATGGACTCCTTTGGTAAACTTAATTTATTTCTATCCTCTGTTTCAGACATTTAATCTGTAGAAAGATTTTCTCTCTTACTCCATGACATATTAGTCTCTTAAGATTATTTAGAGAAAAATCTTAACAAAAGCCTTTTAGGAATCCCCGTATAAAGCATTTATGTCTAAACAGCAAGATTTTGCATAGTTTTAGATCTGGGAATATATTCCAGAAGCACCCTGACTCCTCGCTTGGATAAAACTCAGATGAGTACATAGAGGAGTACCCTGACTCTTGTCTGGATGAAACCTGTGTGACTACCTCCTTTTCCTCTTCCCACATCCTGTTTTGGAGTTGTAAGAAACTCAAATGTGTGCACTGGAAATTAATTGTGCAATGCTTTGTCCAGGTTTTTGGTCTCAATGACTGGGGAGCAGGGAGAGATCATGGACCATACTAGGGCAGATGCAGGCCTTGCAGACTACACGTGTATCAGCTTCATCACCTTTATCTAAATACTTGTTAAATGCTTGAAAACACTAAACTGTTTGCAAGGCATGTCTGTTGGATGCGTAAGAAAAGAAAGAACAGTGAGACTAAGTCAAGAGAGAATTTAACAACTGAGAGTACAACTGAGAGCCTCCTGGTTGCCTGAGAGACATGATTACCTGTGTTTCTGAAAACCACACAGATAAAAAAACCCAACAAATCAAACCAAACTAAATCATTATTTTTTCCCATGTTTCAAGGCCAAGGAGAGACAAAACACACTTATGGTAGTAATGCTAAAACAGGAAGATTACCTCACGGTGATTTAGAAGTCTCTCCAAATCTGCTGCCATTTGATTCTTGACACGCAGCAAAGTTGTCTTTTCTTTATTTAAAAGACTGGTAGAAAGAGGATAGGAAATGCAGTAATAGCAACAGATTCTCATTTAATCTTGTATTCTGGCTGAAACATGCATTTTCTAGAGCTAAACATGGGCAACAATGAAAATCTGCTCAAGTAATTATATCAAATAATCCTTCTTTATGTTCGAGCATTGGATTTTTTATAAATGAGCCTGAATGCACTGACACATCCAAAATCTTATTCTAGTCAAATAGAAATACTATTAAAAATCTTTATAAAATATGGAACTTTTTTTTTGTTCTCTGAAGGGTAATTTAAATTATCAGAATCTTCTATTATTATCTCTTGGTTTCTTCTAGGCAAAATGAGTTCATTTAATAAGCAAAGTAAGGCTCCTTATCTATACTTCTATATCAAAATGTGGATTTCTTTGTTGTATGAATCACTAGCAGCAGCACACACTGTTCTCTTAGTATCACTTCTTTTGGTACTACTGTATTTAGAGTTTTGAAAATAATAAATACAAGGAAGAATAACATCCAGCCCAGCTCTCCCTTGTAGCTGTGTAGCTTCTGCAGAAATTGCAAATGTGTTTTTGCCATTTTTTATTTTATATTCCAGGAGAATGCATGGGATCAAGTTTGTCATGTGAACCAAGTATGAAAACTGTTTTAGCATGAAGGCATGCTTTTATAGCACAATGTCAAGTTTAATTTTAATTGTTCTTTGTTTTCATAGTTATAGAATATGAGCATTTGAAATGTTTAGCATACCCATTCTGATGCTAGGCAGCAATTCTAATATAATTAAGTTTATTTTCATCTTTAGCCCCAATATCAGTTTCCGACAATAAAATTCAGACTAATGCATACATAATGCCAGTATACAATCTAGTTTGTTAAAAAAGCCACAGAGATTTTCTTGGAAGATTTATGTTATACATGCCACTATCATGACTTACCTAAACAGGCTGTACAATATAAACTATAACATGAATCAACAGCTATGCAAAATGCAATTCTGCATATGGAGTGCAAATATGTAGTACTGAATACAGTTCAGGAGCTCAAAAGCAAATGTATTAAAATTTTATAAATAGCATAGAGTAATTACCTATGTTGCAAACACAAAGTATTTAATATTCCCAGTATTTAATCCAGAAATGATCAACAAAATAAATCAACCTTTTCTTTAATTGGCTGTGTATCATCCATTTGTTTCAAATAAGCAACATCATCCTTTGCCCTGGGGATTTTACGGCAGTTCCTTGCAAATTCTGTACTGTAAATTATGACTGTCAATTCTTTCTAGGAATTAATTCTTAGAAAAAGTGTACACTTTGGCCAAATTGCTTAGTTGTCTGAGTTATTTAAAAGGAAAGTAGTGAGGTTTATGAAAAAAACACAAATATATTTTAATATTTTAAAGAGTTTTATTTTCTGTGACATTTTTAATCATGATGAAATTGTAATTTTTTCTTCCTGGGTCTATGTTGTAGTAACTCACTGATATGTCAGTTTTTCTTGGATGTCTGTACTTCCTAACAGCATAAACCAATCCTTTTAGAGAATGACTTCACAAACTTATTATAGAAGCAATAATAAAAGTTCCTTTATACCTTAAATAGTGTAATGAATAAGAAGAAACATCAGGTGTTCAAGGTTCGATTTCATCTACAGAACCTATTCTAGTTATACCTTCTGAAAAAGTATGACATGATCGATCCATGTGGAGCAGTTCTAATTTTCTTTATTTATAGTTGAATATAGGAATGAGACTGCTACATCATTCAATAGCACTTGATGTGTTGTCTGTCATACATATGAATATAGAATTACTAAAGCCTGTGCAAACTTCCGATTTAGTAGTTTTGCAATAGTTATGCTTTTTCATCATTGCAGATGGAAGGAAATAATTCAAATACTTCTGAAGGAATACTGAAAAAGAGGCATATATACATTTAAAAGAGGGAGAAAGCAGAATTACCAGACACAATATTAATAAATTCACACCTGCGATGACTAAGTAAAGCAGAAATATCTTCAAAAGTTCAATTCTGGGAATAGGACTGACCATTTCAGTCCCTATCATGAAAACATTCTGAATGGGCATCTTAGACATCAGTAGTCAATGAGGTTCTAGCTTTAAACTACCCTACACTTCCATCAAACAGTAGTTTAAAATAATCCAGTTTTAACTAGTAGCGTAACAAGTCAAAGAGCAGCTTTACAGTTTGTTCCAGCTAACCTAAATGAAAACTGTTGCTGAAAGATCATCCTTCCCTAACCACACACAGGTACCCCCGCTTTGTGTTGCTACTAGAAAATTTGTCACTTCACTGATCTGGATGGAAGCTGGTCTTTTTAAAGGTTATCTTTCATGTGGATCACCAAAACAACTTGATTTACTGTGTGCAGTGGAAACCCACAGCTGAAGGTAAAGATGAGACTGCTCCATTTGGTGACGGAGTGCCTGCGCTGGTTTTGGCTGGGATAGAGTTAATTTTCTTCATAGAAGCTGGTATGGGGCTGTGTTTTGGATTTGTGCTGAGAACAGTGTTGAGTAACACAGGGATGTTTTAGCCATTGCTGAGCAGGGCTTACACAGAGCCAGGGCCTTTTCTGCTCATCACATCACCCCACCAGTGAGTAGGCTGGTGCACAAGATTTTGGGAGGGGGACAAGCTGGAGAGCTGACACCAACTGACCCAAGGGATATTCCGTACCGTATGACATCATGCTCAGCATATTAATCTGGGGGAGGAAGGAGGAAGGGGGGGATGTCCAGAGGGATGGTGTTTGTCTTCCCAAGTAACCATTACACGTGATGGAGCCCTGCTTTCCTGGAGATGGCTGAACACCTGCCTGCCGATGGGAAGTAGTGAATTAATTCCTTGTTTTGCTTTGCTTGCACGTGCAGCTTTTGCTTTACCTATTAAAGTTTCTTTATCTCAACCCATGAGTTTTCTCACTTCTACTCTTCCAACTCTCTGTCCCATCCCACAGGGATGGGGGTAGTGAGTGAGAAACAGGATCTTCTTGACCATCTTTAACTAACCATACTTTTAAGTTTTCACAATACAGGGATTTATTAAAATACAAGTGTACTAAAGATTAAAAGAAATTTTCCAATGACTTGTTCTGGGGTGAAAATGTGAACACTTGGGAGAAATGGACTGTGTTGAAATTATCTAATATCCCTGGCATTATTTAACAGCACAAACGGCTATTTTTACAGTGCAGGGCAAGTGTAGACCGTGCGGTGCTTCACAGTCCTGGTCACTGACTGCCCCATCCTGAGTATGGAGAAGGTGCCCTTTGTGATACATCATATAACCATGGACCCAAAAGTTCAGGTTGGAGAAGTAACTGCAAAGCAGTGCAGCTCCTGTTTTTCCTGTGTGCCTGCATTTCCAGAAGAAACCAGAATGTCTGGGAGGAGATTCAGTTTCATTCCATCATGCTTTCAAATCCTAGCCAGGTATGAATTCAGGTACCAGGAATGTAAGACTTACCCTGGAATACACTTGTCATATACATACACATTGCTCATAGCAACCACTGGCTTGTTTTTTTGCTTTAGTCAGGATCTAAATCCAAAGTAGCTTGGATATCATAATTAAGACAATTTTAGGTGATTTGATTTTTCTGGAGAATGGAGACTAACGTTTCCTAGTCTCAGACTTTTAAAGCCTTTTGAATTTGGTCAATTAAGCCATCTTTTAAATATCCAGTTAAAGTATACTAGCTACTATCCTGTTCAGAAGCTTCTGTTATTAGATGTTCTGGATAATATGCTTATGCTGGACACACTAAATAAACATGGTTTTATATATTACTGGGGTTTTTTTATTATTACTTCTATTAAGTTTGAAAAAAAAGTATGTTTCCTTTTTAGTGAACTGTGTACTCCAAATACTCTAAGAAATAAGGATTGTGCCTTTCTGTTAATTTCATGTTACAGCATGATGAAGTTGAAAACTGAAGTCCAATCTTGAGTTATTTTTTGCATTTTATGTTCATATACAAATACTACCATCAAAAAAGTAAAACATAGCAAATGTGAAGGTTTTGTACATAAAACTGAATCTATAATGTAGGTATAGCTACCCCTTCTCTGAAAACTACAGATGAATAGCTCAGAGTAGACAGCTGATTTTTTTAAACTCATGTAGTTAGAAAGGGAAGTATAAAAAATTCTGCAAATACAAGCTATTTAGAAGACAGAATACATTAAAAATCTGTGATCTCTCATTGTGCAGCTAAATAACTACAGATCAGATTTTTAAAGGTGTTTAGGAGATTATTGCTTAATGATTTCAATGCTTTAGGTGGCATAAGAACTCCTCTGTGTAGTACCCAAATTGGAAAAAAAAAATTACTTTAAACTGTAAAAAAAAAACCCAAACCCCTAATAACTTTTAAAAAGTTGTAATACAGTTCAGAAAATGTTCACTTGTAGAAAAAAGAAATATATTTCAACAATTGTATTTTTATGAGCATTCCTCAGGTAAATTGCAGTAGTGTTTGAATAGATGTTGCATACTTCACAGAATGGTAATGTTACCATAACAAGCTCATTGCCCATTCTGTGATGGGAAAAACTCAGCTAAAACTGTATGCTGAGCTTTGTAATGTTTGGACGGCAATTGGAGAACCCAAAATGTTTAGGTAAGAAACTTTTCAGTACATAGCTTCTTATTGAGCATAATCCTTGTACTGCTTCTAGATTTGCCACACAGTTAGGCTTTTGAGGCGTGCTTTTGGGTAAGCGAACTACTTTTAAAACCAACCATCAGCACTGAGAAATATGAGTAACTGAATTTAAAATAACTACCTTCTCTTTATGAATGAAGTCCTGTTTAATGTCTCCACTTATTTATAAACCTAGATGTTTTTAGCAGAAAATTATGTACTGAAACTACAATTACTTAACTACATACGTAAGAATGAAATTTAGAGATTTGTTTTCCCACAGCATGACACAGTAACAAAGCATTTCTTTTCAAAGGAAGTGCTAAATGTGGTGTTTTCATTTCTGGTTGAGAACTGTATGCTAGAGAGATTTCTTTATAGTATGAAGGAGTCATCCTCGTACATACCACTGCTCCTATAACCATTACTATTTAGTTTTATTAACAAGAATGGACTAACATAAATGAGAGTTTACCTAGCAGAGTATTTTGAGATATAGGAGCACCTATAAATTCACCCTGCAGATGCCCTGTCACTCAAGACTAGAATTTTTGGTTGTTTTTTTTAACCGAAGCATATCTGCAGGTGCATGGCTCGGTGAAAAAGCACACAACGTGTTCTGCTCCCAGGGTCACCTCGGTTCTGCTCACAGCCAAGTGCTAGCACAGCCCATGGCCTGCCTGGGAAAATTCTAAGGGGATGGGAAGGAGAGTGGTAATATAGATGTGTATTATCTTTGTTATTATCTTTTACCTTTGAGTGGTAATACAGTTGTGCCTTCACACTTGAATCTAAGCAATACTGTCACACACCTGTGATAACATATAGATGGGTCCCTAAGTTGTTCATGCAAATAACTAACAGCAATGACAGCTGCTCAGCTAAGCATTCATCCCGAACACAATAGCTCTTGCAATTCTCAGTGACAGTATAGCTAAAGTTCAACAGTGTTGTATGAAAGATGTCCAGAACAGACACACTTCTCAGCAAGCCATCAAAGTTATCTCCAGCTCTGGTGGAATATTCTGCTTTAAGGCCTTGATTCAGTCTGGTTCCTATTTTGACTATTCCTCTCCTTTCAAGGAGAGGTTGAATGGGGCTTTGAGGAACCTAATCTAGTGGAAGATGTCCTTACCCATGGCAGGGGGTGGGAACTAGGTAATCTTTAAAGGCCTCTTCCAACTCAAACCATTCTATGATTCTATGACTCAGTTTGACAGCTATTGACACATGTAACCTTGAGTGCTATTTAAACAGTCCTTCCAAATGAGGAAGACATTTTGAGAGTCTGAAGAGAGTCTGAAAGACAGCCTTAACTCTAGAAGTATGACACTTAAGGATGAAGGCATGTAAGATTCTCTGGTTAAAGGAAACTTAGAAGGATCTGCAGGATTTCCCAAGAGTATTATATCAAAACGATCTGCATGAATCTGTCCCACTCCTTTTATGGAAATAACTGCCTTCAGAAATGATGCTTTCCTACAGTGATGCAGTCTGGAGAATCCTGAACACATCTGTTGCTTGCCAAGGGACCACATTGTAAGTTACTTTAGGCCATTTTGCAAAAAATTGGTAAAAATATGGCACAAGAACTCCCACAGCACAGACTAAGGAGACTGCTGGCATAGATAGTCTTCCTCATAGTTGCCTTCCTCTTGTGCTGATTTCATCAAGACTGACTATTTCATCACAGAATCAAAACCACATCCAATAGCAACCAACAGCCTCCTCAATAGACAAGAAAATACAAAGCACTGAAGGTTGCTGCAAAACATTTATAAGGTTGCAAGAAAGTACTGACTCATCATCCTGGGAAATCTGCTGGAACCTAATCACCCTAGGAGTACGTTCTAAAAAGATTACTGGTCATCATCAGTGTGCACAGAAGTCAATTATGGATTAAATCTAAAAAAAGGTAAATTCACTTGCAAATTAGTCCTTGCTGATACCTCCACACTAAAGTTAAGTGACAGGTCATAGAGAACACTGGCACCGATAACAGATGTGACTGCTCTACTTAGGGAATCCATGACTTACATAATGCAGAACCACCTCTGTTGATGAGTAGATGAGATAAATACACAACACAAAGAACACTACTCCACCATAGATTTTGCACACTAAATGCAAAGGAAGGAAAAGCATGATCAAGCATAGGGTAGCTGTGAGGATAAAACTAACTACTCAGTCTTGATTGTCAGGGTGCAGGTATATCAACATTATGTTAATTTGTCTACAATCTGGTACTCAAATATGAGATTGAAAAAGAAAATATATTCAAAAAAATCATTAGTATTTTTAAAGGTCTATCTGAAAACAAGAATTTGAACATTATTTTTCCATTAGCTGGTACTTGAGAAATTGCTTTTTAGAGATAAAATTAATGTATGTATTGCATGTAAAATTTTAAAAAATAATAATGTACTTTGTGTAACTGTAGCATAAATTAAACCTTAACTTAAAGAGGCTACTGCAGAACTGCAGTATTAACTATTAATTGTAAGTTACAGTTGAAAAAAAAAAATTGAAATGGCTTTACAAATATTAACTTCTTCCCTTAGCTCTGAGAGAAACCAAGCTTCATAAACCATGCTTAGTGTTTCCACTATGACCTTTCTAATAGCACCAACATTATCTGCAGAATTTAGGGCCCTCCTTGAGGAACATTAAATCTCTGAACTCTTCGTCTCAAAAATGTTCCACACGTAAACCAACAAAATGCTGTTTAATAAACTAAGAAAGAAGGACAGGAATAGTGGTCTAAATCCTTTGATCCAGCAGAGCTTCACTTGGTGTATATTTGGTAGGGATTATCATTAATTTACTTAAATCCCATTCTGATTGAGTTCTGGAATCTAGCTGGGAGCTAGACTGGTCCACAAAGTAATCTGAAATCACCTAAAGGATATTTTAATTTAAAACTGTCATCAGCAGATTCCAAAAGGTTACCCTCATAACAAAATGACTGCTGGAATGTAATGGTTTTCTGGTTAGAAATCTCTTCCTCTAACCTTCCTCTCGCTTATAGGAAAGCGAATGACCAACATTCTCAATTTTACACCAGAATATGATTTCTCTTGTGCTTCAGAGAATATCAGCTAACAATTTAGGACATTTGTTTTAAATGCAGAATTATGAATAGTAAAATTAGGGACTACTGATATGTATCAAAAGCCCTAAGACATTAGGCTGTTTCCAAGAATTTCACTGACCTATGAAACTACAGCAAAATTGAGACAAACTTGTGATAAGAGAACAATAGTTAAATTTAGTTTACAAGGAATACTGTAAACTACAGGAAAAAACTTCTTACCAAAACATTTGATGTGCAAAGTAAACGTTACTTTTTTGCTACAAAACCATTAGGGATAAAAATATTTTTTTGTCAGACCACACTTTCATTTACAGAAACACGGACTAGCGGTGAGCACGCCCTAGCTCACCACAGCAGAGTACTGCCCGTATGATTACCATGAATGCTCGCACTGTGGTATGGATCCATTTTCTTCCTTAACCTCAGGCACTTTAAGATGCCAAAAATTCCCTTTATAGCTAATAGAGAGTAACAGGCAGCTCTAGCAAATGACTCACTTCATCCAAAATCTGAATCGCTTTTTGGAGATGCCACTTCCTCTATGAACTACTAAGGAAAGCTGACCTAAATTCCTAATTTAAGTGCCTTAATTTGTATGCTAAAATTAGGAAGAATATCTGGGCATACAGATTATTTGCAATGCGCCATAAAAACTCAAAAGAATCAACTAATAATGCATTTAACTTCTTATATATTTTAAGGACATGAAACATACAATTTCAGAAATGACCTCACCTATTCACTCCCCCTTTTTTTTCCCCTAGCTTTTGAAAGACTTTTGGACTACTATGTGAATAATAAAATACATTTTCATGTTACCATAATCTGAAAATTTAATTTGCGAGTGACCAATACTTTGGTGATTTTTTTTTCAAAACTGGAAAGTAAAGTCCTGCATACATAGAGAACATTGTGATTTTTTTATCTCCTGGAAAAATATAATTTATCTTTCAAGTTTTTCTTATAATATATCAAGCCTAGGAAAATATTAAAAACACTTGATTCTGGAATGAAGAGAGATGTATTCTTAGTGAATCAGAGTTAAGCCCAGTGAAAGATATCTTGTCAGGAAGTATGAATGAATATTTAAGTTTATTTATAAATGCATTGATTTATGTATAGATTTACTTGGATAATAAGCATTTTTAGATATTCATCAAGGCATAATAATTACTATCCCAAACCATCAAAACACTCTGAATAGATACATATGTAAGACAGTATGTAGGATAAAGTATTTAGCTATACTAAGTCCTACTTTTTCTATTTTCATTGCTTCAGCAGATTTGTTGTAAAAAACATGTATTTTTCATGTAATTGCTTCAGAAGACAATCACATTAATGCTTCATCATTGTTACTGCATGCATTTCCTAAAGCAAGATACTACATAAACACCTAATACTTAAAATGCTGATTCTTCTGTAGTGGAGTGGGACACAGCTATCCACTTTCTTGAAAATCAAGGGGCAGATTATTTTGCAACAGCTTGCTCAGGAACCAGATGTTAAACATAGTTTATAAAGCTATATGATAGTGTGAAGTTGCTCAGTGGTCAGAGTTCTGAGAGCTGGATATAACAGCAGACCAGAGAGTCTTCACTAAAGGAAGTCTGCTCCAGTTATGCTCAAAATACCCTTTGCTGGTAGACTAGTCTATTATTTGTCTCTGACTTTGCTTCTTTATTTTTACTGTTGTACATCTGATGTGCTGTTCTTTCCTTTTACTCTTCTGAACTTTCCTCTACTTCACCAGAGCGCTTCTCAACTCCAAACTCATTTTAAACCTGTCATCGCTGCTTTTCCAAACCTAAAGCCTCTTTTTCTGACAGAATGAGAGAAATCTAGAGTTCCAGCATAAAGACTGGACTTAGTCAATGATGGAGCGTCAACATCATCTACTTCGTGGCCAATAGCATAACTTTTTCTAACGATAAACATGTAAGAGATTTTATGTTCAGTTTAAAATAGATAGTGACTTCAATTACCTGACATCTTTTTCAAGTTGTGTAATACGTTCTTTCTGTAGACTTATTTGAGAATCTCTCTGTTGCACAGTTTCAATGAGGTATTTGTATGGCTGTTGTACTTGACTCAACAAAAAATTTGCTCTGTCCAGCTGCCAAAAAAAGAAGTATTACTACTATAAATTTTATAATTTATAAAGCACAATTACTTCATTATTACTGAATTCTTATTGGATATTACTGATTATTAACAATTGCATAACAAAATAAAAAACCAAACCTGTTATTTCACAGATAAATGAAACAATTCTCAAATTACTATCCAGTACATTATCCTCTCACTTTTCTAATGTTCTAATTACATATTTTCACTGCAATCATGCTACACTTCCCTAATCTGCACTTTCAAGACTTTCAATGAAACAGTTTCCATTGATGAAAAAAATTAGTATAAACAAAACCTCTGTTTGTTTACCTTATTGACCACAAGTGACTTTTTAAAAATAGCATACTATTACAATGGAATTTTCATCTCAGAAATGGAATCTAAACAAAAAACAGTAATAATGGAAGAAAAGTCTCCTCTCCTCTAATCACTTACTGTATATGAACAGTGAAATCCAACAAGATGTTTTTACAAGAGTAGTATAAAATAACTGTCATACCCATAACTAGGAAATAAACCTTCTAGCCCCTATCACCTAAACAAATTAGGATCACTAGGTGTAAAAAGCTTGCATGACATGGCTTGTATCTTGAGCAATATGAAAAGATGATTCACTAAAATACGTACAGAATTAAGATCACACATCAAGATTTAGCAGTTTCAGCAGTCAAGAATACCAATTATATTACTTAAAAAATAAATTGAAATATTTTAAAGTTTAGATACAAACAGGTCTAACAGAACATGATGCTGTGTTTCCTTCTTTCTCTGATTCCATTATATTTTTATTGCAGTTTTACTTCTGCCCTCTATACTCTGTCAAATGTGCAAAGAACTTATAATGTAACGGTTCACGTTTATTAAAAAACAGAATATAGAAAAAACTTTGGTTGCTCACCTTACTGGCCTTACTAAAAGGGGAGTTAACTGCACCCCATGTTTTAAAAAGTGAAATGAGAGACAATAACACTGCACTTCCTGAAATTAATGTAAATCCTTAAGGATTATTTAAATACACTAGTTCCTTCAGGAAATACCTATTCTAGTCCACAGTGAAATTCCAAGTTTATTGTAGGTTGGTAAAAATAAAATAAAATAAAATAAAATAAAAAGGCAATCATCATCTTGAATAAACTCATTATCTTCAATAAATTGATAAGCAATTAAAAAGCAATTATTTTTCTAAAAGTACAAGCTATCAAAAAAGATCTCTTTCAGGAAGACAACAGAGTGTCTGTACATGACAAACAGGTAATTCCAAGACATGGAGTACTACTTTCTAGGATTGTCTAAAAAGTGCAATAGAAAACCTTAAGGCTGCCATTACAGGAGAAAATTAATCCAAATGATTTTGTTTGGAATCCTGTTCTTGATAGCCTAAGAACTTTCAAAGGATGCTGTCATGACAGTGGGAAGTTCCTCATTGTTCTCATTGGTAAGAACTGAACTACTTCAGTGGGAAAGGACAAGTGAGGTGTAAGCTTGGTTTGATGCTGCCAATTCATCTGTTAACTTGCTAACTTTACCAGCTAAAAAGCATGCTGCTGTTATGAAGAATGGCTATCCCTTCCCTCTCCATGGTAGTGCTTTGCTGCCTGTTTAATTAGATACACTTAAAAGAGATTGCTATTGAACTTTAATCAATTAAGCATTAAATGCACTTAATGGATCAATTTGACTAATATAAACACATGTATATAAATTAAGCATTATCCTTGAGTAAAAGCATTATTTTTTGTAAGCAACTTTGATTTCTTTCTCCCTTAATGTACAAGATTTACTTAAGTATTTCTTTGTCATTCTTTTAAGCTATAACTAATACCTTGCAATCTGACATTTATTATTTATCCCTGAATGGATATCTCTCAAGCTGAAGGATTTCATAATTGTTCAGCTTGATCTATACTCTCTCAGAGTGAGATGTAAACCTGCTTTTAGTAAAAATGTTTCAATCAAGGTATACAAAAAGCACAAATACAACATAATGATAAAGGCTTGAAAAAGTCAGTCAGCAGCAAGCCAAATATATCAGCTTAGTAAATTTCTTTATTTAGGATAACACTTCTACTGTATACTGACTCAGTATTTTCTTTTTAAAGTCACCCAAAAACCATATAAGCCTTTGAGACACAAGAGATTGTCTATCCATCAGTTCTGGCACTGCTCTTCAAAACCTCTGCAAAGTAAATTAATTCCAAACTTTAGACTGGACAATAAATGTAATAATTGCAGATCACTGCTTTGCAGAAGTTGATATGTAGCCTTCCACTTACTTAAACTGAGAGCAATGTGAAGTGAGTTGCAGAGGCAATAAACTGATTATCACTAGCTGAAGATCTCTGATCAGATCATGAGAATTCCTTTATTCTCTTTGTCCTAGACATGGTCAATAAATCTTCTGTAGCATGAAATAAGTCTCAGTACCTACTTTAGCATTGCAGGTCACTGCTATGCAAAGCAACAGAAAGAAGACTTTAAGGGAAAATTATTTTCTAATGCTGTATCACAGACCTGAAAATAGACAGGATCCTGCAGTTAAATAAAGTCTATTCCTTTCTATAAAGCTCAACAGCAATAGGTTGAGAACAGTCCAAAAAAAGAATCTTAGAAAAAGCATCCATTGTAGTTATTGCAATCTTTTTCTCTTCCTCCCTCCTTTAAAGAGCTTAAAAAAAAAATTCTCTCATAAATACAGCAGTGAAATACCAGTATTTAATCCAAGTTCAAAAGAAAAGTTGGTCCAATCACTTTGGCATGAACCTTCAATCCATGTTCTAGAGTTCATCTAGATGACTGAACAAACTGCCAGTCCAAAGAATAATAATGGATTACCTGAGCATCCTGTAGTCCACAGGATCTGTTTTGCTCTTAAAAAAAACCCCCAAAAAACCAACACCACCAAAAAACCACAAGACAGACGATAGCTTGGAGTAAAAAACTCTCCTAGTTCAGGGGATGCAGTAGAGACAACAAACAGAAGTTTAAGTACTTTAATGTATAAAGAAAGATACTGAGGAGCACTCAGTGTGAGATATGAAATACAGAAAATTTACAGGAGGACCTACAACAGGATTTTCAGAAGTATCTTCAAAAGTGATTTAAGAGAAGAGCTGTGTAAAAATAATGAGGTATTCATTGAACAATTAACCATAAACAGAACAAACTAGTTTGGCTAGCCAGTCTTCTGTTCAGAAATCAGAACGTTGTCTGTCTGGCTTGCATTCTTGTTTAGCCTGTAAAGTAATCCATCTTTTGATCTTCATTTCAAAATACAATATAAACTTCTTTGAAAACATTTAATGTAGAGTTTTGGTTAATTATGAGGCTATTTTTTTTACATCAAATAGATAATAAACATTGTTTAGAAAATATTTCATTTTATGAACATCTGTTCTGCAATGTTTATAGTCTCCACAGATTTGATTTTTTTTTTGTAGCAGTAATTTACCTCTTGTGAAATCTGTGTTACTTGCTCCTTCTGATGTTCCAGATCTTTTACAAGCAACGAGTTTTGCTTTTCTAGCTGCAGTAACCTCCTTGCCAAGTGAACACTGTGCCAATAGAAAGCAAGCTCAAGTTGAATTTTTTCCAAAATATGCAAAAGAAATTCTCACATTTATACTCCAGAACTTGATTGCCTTAATTTTGCACCAATGCTTAAATACTAATATATAAACTTCATAGTGAAACATGCAGAATGGTCCAAGTTAGAAAAACAAGGAAAGTATTACAAAATTTATAAGCACTGAAATAACATTCCTGCAGTTATGCCATTGTAGTATTTTTTACAAAGTAATTACCTATATAACTTGTACAATGTAACACAATTGCAGTAATCATGGCAAAATATTTCAACTCATGATAAGTATTTACTTTTTAGCAACTTTTGGGAATCACTCTAAATGGCTTCTCCGATATTTTTTTTTTTTTAAATTGCACATTAATATACATTTTGTACTGGAAAACTGAAATATTAAGTGTTTTATAATTTTCAAAACAGAGGCAAAATTGTTTTGTCTGACATTTAATACACTAAATAATCAAATTTTATTGTCACTTAAAAAAAACCCCCAACAAACTCTTAAGTAGATCCACAAATTAACTTAGAATTGAAGAGAAGGAATTATTGAGTTACTTAAACACCCTAGTCAAAAACTTAGATCCTCAACTTCTTGCATGTTTCATATCCAAAGTCAAAAGAGTTTATCGCCAGTTCAACAGCATAGTTCCATAGGCAGCAATGGGAGGATTCAGTATGCAACTGCAGAACCTACTTCCAGACATCTAACAAAGTCTTTCAAGCTGTTGTTATTAATTTAGTCTTGTTCAATGCAGTCTGTAGAGCCTGACCGTATTCCACTCAAATGGACTCCTGGATGGCAAACTGAGAAGTACTCCAAATTCCATTGACTGTATTGTTTAGAATTAAATTGGTTATACTGGGAGATTAGATGCCAAGTCTCTGTGTCAAACCTATTAGATGTCTAAATTTATGTATCCTGTAATAAGTCCTGCCACCTTCACAGGATTCAGCAGCTTGGTGGCTATTATCAAAATTATATCTTGATAATATATCACTGAACCCCTCTGTGTTTTGGTACTCCAGTCACTAATCTATTTCACAACATGACATGGGAAATTCAGAGCTCTAAAAATGAGAAAGATATACAGGGCTAATACCCCTTTTTAGTGTGCCTTAACCACTGGACTAATGGTTCTCCACAACAATCTATCCGTCCAGTCATATGTCTGCCATTTTTCAGAAACTTGTTTATTGAAAAGGGGAGGTCACTCAAGTTCAGATCTTATTCATACTGTCCATAAACTGAAAATGTAAGACTAAGTCTCCAAATAATGGATAGCAAAGTGCTATCCAGTTCTTGACCACAATACAGAATTTGTAAGAGTGTAAGTGATCTAAAGCAGATCGACAGGGAGATTTTCTTTATCCTTTAGCTGAGGCTTAGAGTATGTAAAGCTTGATGAGTGTATAAACTTTCTCTGAAAATTTGACCAGTCATAACCTCCATCTTCCCTTCAGTAAAAGGGAATATATGTTTAGATTTGAGAGAAGTCTTAACATTGTTCATCTGTGTTACAGACCCACCTTTTCATATAATCTTTTACTTTTGCCTTGTATGAGAGGAAGTACCTGAAATTCTCAATAACGTGTACTCAGATGTTGGTTCTCTTTCAGCTCCTCCTAGAAGGAGCATCAGACTGTAAAAACAGTAACTGAGGAAAAGAGAAATTAATTCTCCAAGCTTTTTATTTGGACTTTTATTTAGAAAATACGAGATGTGTGTTAAGATCCCATCTAGTACAAACAAGAAATTAATCACTTTTTTGATATCTCTAGTTAGGGATCTCATACATTAGCTGTTGGAGTGCAAGGGGAAACATGCATACCTTCCCATGGCAACTTTGGGAATGTAGCCCATCATAATTTTTCCAGCTAAAACTATTCCGTGAACTTGACCTGAATTTGCAAGTATTTAAGGATAAATACAAGTACGTATTTCAAGTGTGCTTGTCAATGAGTTTTTTTACTAGTTTAAATTTATAACAAAGGGACAAAGGGACTGATCTACAAAGATATCTTATTCTGGAAAACTTTGATTCCAACTATACTAGAAAATTATGCAGTGCTCAGGACGTGATAATTTATTGTTAGTAAACAACTAAAGTGTTCCTGGTAGTATTCTGGCATTTACTTATCAACACTTTCCAATCAGTTCCTAGGCATAGCTGAAGAGTTAGCGTGGCCCAGCAATCATTGTCAATATGTAGTTCACATGTAGCTAAAACATACTGAGAGCTTAGTTTTATGGAACTGGGCTACTGCACGCTATGTGGTCTCGATGCTTCAGAATGTTTCCCAGACATGTTTAATTTACGAGTATGGGTGTATGGTACCTATGTTCGAAGTCTGGAAGTAGTTGTTTCTGGCAAGTAGGAAAAGAGGTATAGACCCCACAATGCACTATGCTTGAATAGGTAGTTTTGTGTAAAGTTTCAGTGACTGAAGTGGATATTGTGAACTTCTAAGAGTGCTTCATTTATGATCCCAGATCTCTGGAATTAAAGAGTGGGTAGTGGACTCTATAAAAGATTATTCACATTTGTAATAAATTCTCTTTCCTTAAGCAATCCCAGAGAGCAGAAAACTTATCTGTGTTCCCTTAATAGCTGTACACATAGAAGCTGGTGTCACAGAGACTGCTTTAAGGCTTAGGGAACCAAAGGTATCACACACATTTTCTGTGTGGCAATTTTCCTTGGGTCAGAACAGCAGCAGGTAAACCATACATAGACTTTTATGGTTTTAAAAATCTTCTTAATTTTAAAAGATAAAGAAAGTCTGTGAAGTCTCCAATACCATTAAGGATTAAATCAGCTTTATCTGCCAATGTCTTCTGGAACAAGAGACGATGTGGTGGGTTGACACTGGCCGGATGCCAGCTGCCCACCAAAGGCACTCTATCATTCCCCCTCCTCAGTGGGACAGGGGAGAGAAAATATAATGAAAGGCTCATGGATTGAGATAAGGTCAGAGAGAGATCACACTCTGTGATCTGAGATCACTCTGGCCAGTGGCAGGTCTCTTAGAGCTGGCTGTATTGACTTGGCCAGACATACGGGAAGTTTCTGGCAGCTTCTTTCAGAAGCCACCCCTATGCCTCTCCCTGCTACCAAAACCTTGCCATGCAAACCCAATACAAAGAAATATATGAGGCATTCTGATAGAGCCACTTCTAAGATCATGAAGTGTCTTCCAAGCACATCTGAAATACTGGCTTCTTGATCATCAGATTCACCATTCAAAAGTGATTTAGCAGGATTATTTTATATGTAAATAATCTAAACTGAACTTAATAAGGTAGGGAAAAAGAAGGATCTAAGCTGAAACTCAGAAAAGTTCCCAAAGTATTGACAGAGGAGGAAGAAATTTAAGTTTTAGGAAATGATGCTATAGAACTCTCAACAGTCTCCTAAATCAGAAATAAAACAGGGTTATGGAGTTTTTTGCCTGCCCCCCCCACCCCCCTTTTTTTTCTTGAATTTTATGCAGTATAAAAATAAATCTTACAAGGAAATAATCTGAAGAGGCTTAAAACATGAAAGAGCAAGTTAAAGCCATGCCAAAGTTAAGTACTACATAAAATCTTTAAGATTTTTGCCAGCGATATGTAACTCTGCACAACAGGTCTAATCTGATTGACAATCATATCCACAACACTTGAAAATCAAATACAAAGGACAGAAGAAATAGTACATGGCCCACAAATCTTTGTTGCAAACATGAACAGACCATCATTTGCCCTTAATTCTCATCAGTAACTTTCGATGTCAAATATCCTTGCTTGTGGAGAAGGTGGGGGTTCAGAGGAAATAAACTAAATAAACTAAATAAACTAACACTTGTAGTAAAAATCAGCTATACATGACAAAAACTTCACTTCCAGCTCCAGAATGCTAGAAATGTACACTGTGGATCTATGGCATGTGTTTGCTCTGTCTTTACACTCTTCTTCATGTGTCCACCAATGACGGTGGAGTTTCTCATTTTAGTAGAAGAGAGCATGGTCAAAGTCTACCACTAACACAAATTACACAGTTGACCTTCTTGCATTTGAACAAATTGTAAGCACACCTGGAGTGCAAGGAATGAGTCTAATCCTGGCAGAACCACCATCCTAATTGTGGTGTCTCCTCTGGACCAAAAATCATATTCCTCTGACCTGATACTGTGAGGGTCATGGAATCACTGTCCATAGAGAAAATCAAGTCTTAGTTGGACAAGTGCTTAAACAATTGGATTTGTTCTGAGCAGGGTGTTGGACCCTGCTGACCTCCAGATGTTCCTTCCAACCTAAATCATCCCATTATTCCATGATTCCAATCATAGGTTATGTTTTCTTTTTAGGTTACCTATACATATTTTGAACAACAGCGAAATAAGTTTTGCTGTGGTCATAGCTTAAAATTCTAAATAAATCCACATTCCTTATATGTCACTGTGAGCTGTAGTCTTTATGCTCAGAAGCCATTCAAATAGCTATTAGTTCTTAAAGGCAATGCATAATATAAATTTATTATTTAAAATTTGCTATGATCAAGAGGTATGTTATACAGCCCACACATAATTTTTGCCTATTTATCAAATGGTATCAGGACAAACTGAATAAATATAACTGGAATCAGATTCTGCATTTGTAAAGATGAAACAGTGATGCTCCGAAACCTTAGCCTTCTTAATTTCCTGACAGATGTGTTTTTGTTACAATTACATACAATCATTTTCAGGGTATTAAAAACTTATTTCCCATTATATAAATGTAAGCAATGTTACTAGTCTGTTTTTACAGCTGTTCAGTTTTATACAATTAAAATTCATCCTTTTGAAAGAGAAGGAAAAAAGATCTTAAAATTACCTAGAAAAATACGTATATGCTCATTTATATGCATCAACCACATTAACAGGTCCTAGTCTTCATTCTGTTCTCGTATACTTAAGTCATTAAAAAAGTCTTTGTTAATAAAACTGTCTGGATTCTAAGACAAAGCATAATGCACATACCTTCATTTACTTTATAATAAACAAGTAAATTCAGAAGGCACTTTTTTACCTTTGCTTTAGTCGTCTTTTGGCTGTTGTAGGAACATTAGCACCATACCCATATGAGAAGAGAACCCTTTCAGCTTCAATTTCATTTTCCACTGCAAAACATTCCAGAAAGGTACTGTTGAAGAACACAATTACAGTGCAAGAACTTACAAAGTTCTAAGCAGTTCTGTTTGTAATTATACACATATACAAACATTTTTCTAGAAGCTAGATTTTCAGTTGGTGTAGCCTTCTGAACTTCAGTGGAACAATTTTGTTCATAATTAGCATTAATACAGTGCCATATGTTAATTTCTTACAATACTGGCAGGTTTTTCACTTTTTATTTTGCTGATTAACATAAGACTTATACAATATGAAAGTAAAGGAAAGGAGTTCAGCGTCCTTGAATATTCCTGTTATTGGTATAGTCACAAAATACATATTGATACTATAAATTTAATTCAGCAGTACAGGGTTAGGTTGCTTACTGTTTTTTCTAAAGAATTCATTTTCTGTGCATACATGAGGAAGTAGAGGAGCATAAAATTAGGGAGTGCTTAAGCTGACTGGACGTAAATGAGTCCATGGGATTAGAAGGGACAAATCCAAGGTTGCTGAGGGAGCTGATGTCACTGTGAGGCTGCTCACTATCATTTTTGAAAGACTGTGGAGATCAGAAATTTCTGATAACCTGAGGAAAACAAATGCCATACTCATCTTCAGAGAAGGACAAGGAGATTCTGGGGAATGACAAACCAGTCAACCTCACACCAGTCTCTGGGAAAGTTATGAAACAAATCCCACTCAAAGCTACTTCCAAGCATAGGCAAAAAGGTGGTTGGGAACAGCTAGCAAAAACCCCCCATGTTGGACTAACTTGATGGCCTTCCAAGGTGAAGTGACTGGCGGTGTTGGTAAGAGGGAGCATTTATGTCAAGACAAAGCCTTTGACACAGCCTCTCACAGTAACCTCAGAGCCAAACTGGCAAGATATGGACTGCATAAGTGGACAGTGGGTGCATGGAAAACTGGATGGACCTCTGGGCTCAATTAGTGGTGTTTAGTCATACAAAGTCAAACCGACAGACATTTATTATTGTCATTTCTTAGGAATTAATACTGTTCAACAACTTCACTAACAATGCAGACAATGGAATATTGTGCACCTCCAGCAAATTTAAGGAAGATACAAGATTGTGGTGGGAAGGCAGCATGGTAGACTAGGGGCAGGGCTGTTATTCAGAGGGACATCAACAGGCTGGAAAAATGAGTTGACAAGAACCTCAGAGTTTGCCAAAGCAAATGCAGAGTTCTGCATCTGGGATGGAATAACCCCATGTACTGGTACAGGCTGGGGGCCAACTGGTTAAAATGCAGCCTTGCAGAAAAAGATCTGAGGATCCTAGTGAACAAACTGATGATGAATCAATCAACTTGTAGCAAAGAAAGCGAACTGCATCCTAGGGTATACTAGCAAGACTGCAGCCAGTTAGTCAAGGGAAGTGATCCTTCCCACCTATTCAGTACTTGTGAGACCACACACGGAGTGCCATGTTCAGTTTCGGGCACTCAGGGCAGGAAATCACCAAGACAATGAGGGGACTAGAGCACATGACATAAGGAGAGCCTGAGAGAGATCTTATTCCTGCCTCCAACTACCAAATGGGAGGGTACCAAGAAAGCAAGAAACAAGGTCCTCTCAGAAATGTGCAGTGATTAGTATAAGAGGCCATGAACTTAAGTTGGAACACACAAATTTCTGAATGGATAAAAGAATAAATGTTTTTATCATGAGGGTGGTCAGATACTGGAACAGGTTGCTTGGACACATGGTGGAATCTCCATCTTTGGAGACATGTAACACTTAACTAGAGAAGTTTCCTGAGCAACCTGCTGGACCTGCTTTGAGCAGAGGGTTGGACTACATGACCTCCAGGGGCCTCTTCCAACATCCATGATTCTGTGACTTGCTGCCTTTCTTCTGAATGTGCCATATAAAGAGTACACCAATTATGATATTTTACAAATATCAATACTTTGCAATAAGAATTATTTTAGCTAAATATCTGTTCACCTTGAACTTAAAAAAGAAACAATTTCAAATTTTAATTATAAACACAACACAATACATACAACTATTTGAACATTAAATTAATCCTACTAGTGCACAAGTAGTCTATGAAATGTAACTTCACTGACTTGTTATTCAACCCAGATTGAAAGTTTTCAATGTGTTACCACTTTTAGTATTCATAATATAGTCCAGGGCTTAAACTTAACTGGCTTGGTAATACATCTGGAAATAGCTGTGCATATCGTCATCAGTGGTGATATCAGTAAGTTGCAAACTGTGACTGTGACTCATTACTCCCTAAACCTTCTCCATCAGCATGTATAAAACTTGCATCCTGATGCAATACCAATCCCTCTCCTACAATGAGACTCCACATATTTTGCCACCTCTTCAGACCCATGTTTCTGTTCCTTCATCCTGAACTAGACTTCTAGTTTGGAGGAAGC